GTTTAAAGTCAGAAAAAAACCCAATCAAATTCCTTAGGGAGCTGTTAAAACTATAACTTACATGATTCCAATGATATCTTCCTCTTACACACAGATATATATATATATATAGATATATATACTTAAGTATGTATAGATTGTGAGTTACTTAAGGTGAGACTTGGGAAGGCTAAATCTTTTCTTTGTCATGTATAAACCAAAAGCAGAATTTGTACCAGAAATTTGCAACTGGCTTTCAAGTTTCACAGAAACTTCATTCAAATCAAATTTTGTCTCACTATGGTGGGATTTCATGCTAGCATCATTCACCCTGGAAAGGTCAGAGGGCAAAGTCTATGGGCTGGGGGTCCCAGGACACAGCATTTCACACAGTAAGAGAACTAGGGCTGTGCTCTGATATCAGATAGTTTCAGAGTGAAATAAAGGCTTATTTCCTGATTTTCCTGTGAATCAGCCCTTACTGGAACCACCCGCTTACAGCCAGGAGCTGCAATATTCCCACTAAATACGGCATGGTGAGCTGCTCTTCAAATCACCCAATTTAGAATACATTGCAGTCTGCTCTTTTCATACTTCCAGACATTATTAAATAGAGCCTATCTGCTTAGCTCACAAAAATAGGAGTACAGAATGCAACAAAGAAAAGATAGCCTTGAAAAAATAACTTGACATTTTGACTTTCCCCCTAGAAATAATTGGAGTCATCCTTAATTTCGCCCAAGCTGAAGAGCTAGTATATTAAATAATCAAGTGCTCTGTTACAGTGGTCTGGAAGAAATGCAGACTTACATTTTACTTTTTCTTACTTTTTAACTACTTACATAAGACACTTGAGATTGGACATTAGGGCATTAATACCTTTTGCTGGAGAGTTATTTACTAGCTGCATTTTCTACTTTTAGGTTGGTGACATGGATCACAGGAAAGAGTCCTAAACCCTATATAAATAAAATAAAAATGTATAAATATTACTAAAAAGTAGACATACACTTTAACAAGCAGCTAATCAAAACTAGTTATAAGGCATTTTGCAGATCCTTTGGGAAAGCTGAAGCATGGCTCATTAAAACAGGATAGGGAAAACAATCTGTATTTAAATGTATTTGATGCCAAGAGTTTAATCAGAGATGAGAGCTCCTTCTTACTCTATAAAAATGTCATAAAAAGAAAGGAGTATTAAAAAAATTTGATCTACAGATACATATTTATCTATTGAAATAAATTACTATCTTTTGATAGATAACCACCACATGATCTGTTTTACTATTTAAAACAGCTGCATCACCTGCTTTATAGAATTAGTAAAAAAAAAAAAAAAAAAATGGGAATAAAAATTTATTTTCAGGTGAATGATGTGGAGTCACATAGAAATAATTTTATTTCAGGAAAATAAAATTTTCACATTTTGCTCCTGAACCCCTAGAAGGGCAGGTAAATTAATAGTCAATATTTCAACCCACTTAGATATCTGTTGAAATAAAAATAACAAAATTTATTCTCATCATGAAAAGAAGAACAAAACAATGCTTGAAATGCATTTTGCATATATTATCAGAGATTTTACATAGAATATGTACCTGTATCTACATAGGGATGGTTTTAGGCAATTAGGCTCAAGTTCTAATCAACTACTCTGAATTTTCTTCATCTCATCACCTTGCTATATCTCTTATCGCTTCTTTTTCTGCTACAAACTCTTGATAGTCTTACCAGTGGCCTTTAAAAATGGAAAGAATTTATGCAAAATTGTTTGAATAAGTTCTTAGAGAAATGATACAGACTGTGAGGAGTACCCAAACCTCAGGGCTGAGAAATGGCGCTTGTGAGCAGGTGAGTCATTACCTGTGAGAAATGAAATGCCAGCAGCTGTGTGGAGAACTTTTACACAAACAAAGCCCCAAGATCTGGAGCCCTTCCAGGTCAGGATACAGAACCTGGCTACTTTTCTGTTTATTTCCCACAGAGTACCAAGATTAAGGCTCATAGGCTCATTCCTTGCAGATTTAGCATAAATACTTATCAGCAGCTTTGCTGAAGTTCTGCAGGTGCTTTGGGGGGATTTTCTGGTTTTTTTTTTTTTTTGGACTTAGCATGTAAATACATTCTTGTTTCCTTGAACATCCTGTTTATACTGATAGCGCTAAACAAGGTTTTATACATCTCTCTCTCTCTCTTCCTGATAAATTATATTTATTCTGATAAACTGGAACCTCTCAAACTTTATTAGTACTGCATTTTTTTATTTTTTTTTCTCTTTCATTTTTCCAACTACCATAGCATTACACTGAAAGACAGGGTGAAGCACCTGGCCCATCACACCTGAAAAAGCACCATATGAAAATTATGAAGCTGTATTAAAGCAAACAAGCAATCAAATAAAGGAACTTAGTAAAGGACAAGAGAAATCTGCTGTAGGAATTCTGAGACACAAAAGGCATAGCTGAAAATAGTGAAGCAGACAGTGAAATTCCTTTCTTACTGAACCTGCCATCATGTAGGCTCACATGCAAAGCATCAAACAGCTAAATAAGAGCCAAAATTGCAAGCCTTGCTTTGACGCTGTGTGATGCTGGGTAATCTCACTGGACCTCAGCTACAAAGCCTTGTGTATCCTCATGTTATAAAACATTTTGAAAAATACTGAAAAATCAAAATAAAATTGCTGTTATTATTAAACTGATTTCCTCTACTACATGCTTCTAAAAGACAAAGGAATGAGAGGAATATTTTGTTTCCCTCCTGAGAAGTCAAAGATAAGGTAGGGGACTGAAAAGTAATCAGTATCTTCTGATACTTGGAATAGGACCTGTACCAAAAAAAAACCCCAAAAACCAAAACAAATCTTGACTGGGGAAAAAAAAAAAAGAAAAGTGAGATATATTTTTCTCTTCTGATAGAAAAACATCAACCAGCCAGCCAACCAACCAACCAACCAATTTGTGGTTTCTCTGGGTTATTTTCAATTATTGAGAAAACCCCATATTCTTTATTAACTGCAAGATTTTGCCTGTGTACATGAAAAAGCCCCCATTATACTGTTTGTATGTTATTTTTTCATCATCCCAATTCTCACCTGCATCATTCTCCCATTTCACAGAGTCCTACAGAGGGAAATAACTCCTTCTATGTGTTTAAATAATAAAAACCCAACATGTAAACAAAAAGTGTGACACAGAAAACTCATTGATATTCTTGGCATTTGCTTTTCATTCAGATGCATCTGCCTATTAAGAGTTGTCAGACAACTCCCTGTTTTCAGAAACCTCTGTCTAAATCATCTCTGGCATTTTCCACTAAACTTTTCAGTAGGAGTTTGAAATACATCACCCTGTTATTTAATCCTGACTCTCCAAAGAATTTACTTATTAGCATTTGAAAGAATCTCTTACCTTTAAAGAAACCTTTAGAGCCACAGTTCTGAAAAAGCATAACACATCTTCCTCAGAACATATATTTCTGCCACAAAGATGAGTAGATATCATGTATTTCACTGAGGAAGTTTAAGTCTTTCCCTCAGTATTTCCAGACATTGGAAGTAATAAGGATGGATAACGACAGTTGCCTTTCTTGCAGTGCTTACAGATTTTTCTTCAGCTTGAACATATTCTTTTGGTCCTCTTTTCTAGTCTCTCTGCACTGTAACTAGAAGGGATGGGAAGAACTTCTCTCTATACAGTCCTACTCATTCTAAGGATGAATGAAACTGAAATTGAAATCTGACTTTCTCATAATGTACCAGACATAAAAGAAATATATTTTTGAATATCTGGAAATGATAAAATCATGGGCTGGAAATTAATTTAACATTAAATAAGAGTTGGACTGTCCTAATAATTAGGAGTCAAATAAAGCCAGGAATAGAACACATTGCATGTTTTGTCAAAAACAGAAAAGCTGCTAGGCGGTACTAGACCTGTAATTAAGACTCTCAAAATCTGTTTGGAATAACACAATAAGGTGTCATGACAATTCCCATTCCAGTTTCTTCAGCTGCCATAAGCAATATAAAATCAGGTAATATTTAAGTCTGTGGATTAATTTTTTTTTAAAAAACACTCATATTAGAAATCTTACAATCTCTATAAATATATATATATTGTTGACATCTTCCTTTTTGCCACAAACACTAAAATAATGAAAAGCAGTGCTTGTCTTTTTCCATTTTAATGTAACCCCCTACTGTAAACATTGACACAATCACAGCTACTGTGTTTACTACCGATAAAATTGCGAATGGCCAAAGCATATCAGATGTTCCTGTATTTATTCACAGCTCAGAAAGATGTCTAGACTTTTATCTTTCAAAGCCACTCCCGAAGACTGGAGCTGAAAGAAACCAAAGGCTCCCAAGTGACCACAGTATAGCAGTACTTTCTCTTCTGATACAATAACACCAGGAAGCAAAAACACACAAGCAAACAAACAAGACTCTTTCTAAATAAATTTTTTTCAGTTTTAACATTAATAAACCATGTCCTCCCTAGACAACACCTTTTCTTATTAATTGAGCCTTTGGGTGACATTCTGACAATATTGGTGTCCAGAAAGTAGACACTATTCCAGGCTCTGGCTCCAAATGCAAACCCCTGAGAAGAATTTCAGCTTCCTACCAGGGAAAACTGCAGATGCACAGATCCATTACTCTTTATTTTTTTTTTCTTATGATCTTGCTTTTCAGACAAGAAAATCAGGAACAGAAGGACAAATTATGTAAAAACAGAAAATAATTACCCAAAAAAAGTAAGTTTATAGTGAAGATGAGAAAAAAAAAAAAAATTACCAGATCTTTTGTTAATTTGAAAAAGGTAAAAATTAAATGCTAAACTGAAATACAAGAATTTTCTTTTTTTTATTTGACACTGTCATATAAAAATGAAAACTAATTTAATATAAAGTTGTTTAAAACCATTAGCTAGATTTCTGTGTTTTTAAAAGAGAAACAAAGCCAAGATTGTGCCTTTTTTTCATTTATTTGATTTAATTTGTTACTTATTTTTATAAGCTGTATATAATTGACTGTCTAATAAAGGATTTATGACCACTGAAAAGCAGTTACAAATGCACAAGCTGAACATCAGGTGAGAGGTTCAGGTAGTGCTTACAGGTCACCAAAGGGGGAGAACTTTTCTTCATCAGAAACAGAGCTGTTGCAGAATTGTCATAATCCCACCTATTCAATCCCAGCTGGCAATGTTCTTGAGAAGGGTCTCTGCAAATAGTAAGGAGAAATAAAGGAAGAGTAAGGAAGAAATTGTAGAAATTTGAATTGGGTAAAATTTAAATGGGAAAATGGTAGGAAACCTTTATTTTTGTGTGCAAACAACACCAAGTATTTTCTGTTGTTAATCTTCTCTGTAAAGCTGATGATCTACAGAGGGGTTTTTTTATGTGCTCTAGGAAAATGTGATTAAAATTAACATTAGGTAAGAGACTAAAACCTGTCTTGAAATCAGGAGGGGGTAGGAGGAATTTCTATAAGAAGAATATACTGAAGATTTTTACTTTAGTAAGTTTCACCTGAAGGGATTATCTGCTCTCCTTAGACTGTTTCACTCACAGAATGCAGTGAAGTGCTGCTACCACACACTTAATAAATTTTGATTGTTGTGAAAAGACCCCCTGAAGAAAAATGTTCTTTCTTAGTCAGTCCAAAGAGTTTGTAAAGAAATGTATTATAAGGGAAGTCACAATTTTCCATGTATTTCTCCAAAGTGAACATTTTAATTGGATGTCAGCTGATCTCCAAAATATTGAATAGAAATATGCATGTTTACGTGAACAACGCCCCATTACCTCTGTTTATTTTTCGTGAAGAGGGTCCTGTTTTTTTAAGTGATATGTTTGTTTATACCCAGGATGAATAAGCAGTATAAATTTTGCATATAGCAAATTGCATTTGCAAGTGCACGGATAGATTGTTTCACTTATCCCTGGTTCCTTCAGCAGTAATGTCAAAATATTTCAGAGTAGCATCTTCTTATATATATCCAGAAAGGTCTGTATGGGAACAAATTTGTTTCCACAGGGAAGCGGGATATTTGCATGGCACTACATCGCTAAATATTGTCTCTTTTTCTGCTTCGCTTTCTCTGTAGCCCAAAACAGTACGTGATATTTATTGATAAACCTGATAGAAAAGTGTACATTTGCCACAGATAATGAGTTTCTCTGGTTACAAAAAAAAAGTTACTATTGATAATAAACATTGTCACCACTCTTAAAAAAACCCCAAACAACAACAACAAAAGAAATCAAAACAATGCCACATATTTGCTTTTGTCCCATGAATGTATAGAAATTGAATCAGGGTCATAACCTCAGTTTCTGAAGAGAAGGCTTCCCTTTCAGAGGCTGATCCTGAATGGAAATTGTTTTATTTGAGGGTTGTAGCACAATGTTGGGTATTATTAGGATTGATTGTCTCCATATATATCAATAACCTTGATTTGAGAAAATGTGTTGAACTATAATGAAACCTAAAATGGAAGAAGACAATTGATATGAAAGGGAGAAATCAAAACATACATATATAAATAAACATAATATATTGAAGAAAGAGTATGGGCAGTTGTATCCTTTATATGAACATTAGATAACCTCATTAAATATTTTGTACACACTTTTCTATAAACAATGTTAGTGTTTGGTGTTTCATGTGGCAGAGGTGTCTTAATTTGTACTAGAACATGGATGTCAAAAGCAAAATAAAACTTAGTAGACTGGCTTGTTGTATTCCAATAATATTCCCTTATTTCACTTTAATTTGATATAAATGCTAGGAGGGACAATTACACTGTTATTGCAGTCCCCATTTCATTTCTCCAGCAAAACCTGTTATTTATTTACCTCTTTCTCACTGGGTTGTTTTCAGGCCCACATCCCTAGTTAAATATAACCCTTTCTGCTTTTGGTGACTGTTAGGATATTTCCTAATAGACAGACAGACAGACAGACAGATAGATAGATAGATAGATAGATAGATAGATAGATAGATAGATAGATAGATAGATGATATAGAGATATAGAGATATAGAGATATAGAGATATTAGATATATATATTAGATATCTGAATAGCTATCAGTGAGGCAACTGTGACTCCTTCAGAGTTAAAAATGAAAATTTCTGACAGAAGAAGAAAACAACAAGTGATACATATTCCAAGTACTAACACTTTCTGCCAGATAGTATGGATGCACTTCCAATTGCCATCTAAATGTTGCTGAAAAATATTAAAAGAGCATTTTGTCTATCAAGATTTTCTGGGTAAGAGCATTCAATACAGAGCACTGTGTGAAGAAAACTTCACTGTGTTATTTTTTGAGTAGTACAAATCGTTTACAAAATCTAAGTTTTAATTACCTTGGAGATTTACAGTACTGATTTGGCAGATCTCTCCCTGTTTTCATCACAGCAGGAAAAGGCGAAACAGCCTAATAAAGACAGGTAAGCATAATTGTTCTTTACACATTACAACTTCTAGAGGGGATTTCACTTGCTGCTGAAGGGTTGAGACAAGCTTACACTACAAGAAAATCTTAAATTAACAAATTTTCTCCTATCTTGAAGCAGCAGTATGAAATGTGAAGGCACTCTAAGGCAGTGCTCCCCTAAACACTGACTTCCAGGGTTATCAGACCACTCTGCTGTGGCTGCCAGCTTTGACACTGACAGAAGAACATAAAATAAACCTTAAGTCTGAGACTGACAGTAAGAACAAAGAATGTTACTGGTGTCAGCATGATGCTTCCTGACTACTGTTAAACAATAGGAGAAGCCTGGCAGTTGCTGGGCAAGAGATGGGATATTTTTTCCCTAATATATCTGTTAATTTTTAAAAACATAACAGTGGTATCATAAGCAGATCAATCAGATCTGCTTATGTTGAAATTGCATAAAAATCCTGAGATCTTTCCCTGTAAAGAAAAAATAGCTGAATAAAGCAATTATGTTTAGAGACATTAATGAATGCAACCCAAAAAGAAATCTTCCTGAAGGCATCAGTCAGTTTTGGAAAGAAATAATTCATTTTCTTCTGGAAGAAATAGATGATTTGAGTCTTAATTAACAGCATTAACTCAAAAGAAGTATTAAGAAAGAGAACAGAGAACAAGAACTGAAATGGAATCATTATGTCTATAGAAGAAGATTAGAAGCCAAAGTGTTAGAAATTTGTAAGACAAATTTGCAGTGGGTGATGATCAGACTATATTTGGGAGAAAAGGGGAGAACAGAGCAGGAAAGGGAAATGGAATATTTATGGAATGATGGAAAAATGAACTTAAATGGAACAAAATAATCAGCCCAGTCAATGATCGGCTAAATTTAACTTCAAATGGAATTCTTTTTCTTTATACCCTTGGTCTTTTAGACTTTATTTATTGGTACCATAATGTATTTCAGGCTATCACCCGAAAAAGGAGGTGCAAAAAGAGTAAATCTAATAAGAACAAGCATGAAAGAAAGTGGCTGCTATGTGTCTGGTGTGACTAAAAGACTTTTGTTAAATACAGACTAAACAGATGACATGAGTGATGCATGAGTTTGACTGGCACCATCACAAGATTTTATATGGAAATACTTTCAGGCTTCCACCCTGAGCAGATGTGTCATGGATACTGCATGAAGATTATGCTATACTAGCCAGTGACAATTCCTGACATGTACTATTGCTGAGCACTGGAAAAACAAGTATCACCAGAACTGTGAGAAACTCCCTGGTGTAGAATTGGCTCCTGTCAACTAGAATTCTCTCAAACACCTCCTGGCCCTGTTTCAGGGCCTGAACAATATGGGCTGCACACCCACTGTCAGTCTGCACAAAGTCATTTGGGTTTGGCAGCTCAGGAGCTCCATGCCACATTAGTTTCAATACCTGGGAGGGGATCCTGGACTCATTAGCACAAATATAGCCTGATTCCAGAATACACAGCAACAGTGTGTATTCACAAAAGCTGTTGTGTCTTTTCCTCCTGCGACTCTAATACAACTTTGTACTAACAAATAGTAAAAGGAACAAGTTTTCTCTGAACCACTAAGATTTTTTTATTTCCCCTTCTTTACACTGATCAATGTTAATTCTGAAATTTTCCTGTTATATCCTTTAAAGCATTAAAAAAAACTGCAAGGAAAAAAAAAACACAACTAAATTTTTTTTCATGTAAATTGCACAGTCTTAGAACTTCATTAAAAACACAATATTGACTGTGTGCAGGAGAGAAGAAAGCAGTTGAATTCTGAGACAAGATGGCAACTGCAATGGCAATTTTAATGTATAAAAAAGGTCACCGCAGTGATGAGCATCATGTATGATGCTACAGTGGTTGTTATCAAGACATCCCACTTTTGCCTTGGGACATTATTGCAGAATTCTCTCCCTTTTACCCCAGTAAGTATTGCTAACTCCTACAGCTGAGAATAGACAGTATGAAAACAAGAAGACATAACTGAACTAGAAGATCTATTAGATAATTCATAAAGGACTATCAATCTGTTGTTATGCAAGTTAAAACTTTTGTGAGCCATATCTCTCAATTTTAGATCCTTAGAGCAGAAACAAAGATCAGAATGTCTTTTCCAAAAATAATTTTCAGATTTTAAAGCTTGTTCTCATTCCGAGGGGAAACACAGGCAAATCCTATACATTACAGAACTTACACAAGCTCACACTGGTGACAAGATCCCAGTATTTCTGTCTCTTACATCTCCCTACACAAAAGCCTCAACAGGTCAAGGAAAATATCTTTTTAGCACTGCAATACATGCTGTTAATCATTTGGTGACAATGGCACCAGGGAAACATTTACCTTGTCTTATTTATATCTGCTTGCCTATCCTATTTCTACCTTTCTTTACCTTCCTTCCCCTTCTTCCCCACACAAGAGGGTGTACTCACACTTGTAATGGTAGCTATTGGTTCTCTCTGGAGACTGTGAAATATTGAAAACAGAAGAAAAAAATAAAACACACAAAACAAATAAAGAAATCCTCAATCAACTTTAAGGGTAAAAATAGCCAAATGCTGGTAGAAATTAAATTTGATTCAGTAGGCATTTCCACCAGTAACATGATGTGGGTCAAAAGGATGTGTTCAGTTTTCCAGTGTAGTAGTTAAGAGGAGAAAATAGTGCTGCAAATTATAGCTATTACTTCTGTAATAAAAATGAAAACTGATGAAATGAGACTGCTTTCTCATTATAAAATTAAACATAAGAAACTGCTTTAGGAATATATCTTCCTCTTTTTGTCCATACATATGTGTATATATCTATGTGTATATATCTATGTGTATATATAAAATTTCTACAATTAAAATCTCTAAATTTCACATTTTCTTAAAAATAATCATTAGTTATGAAGGGAAATGTCTTCTGTCCTCTTTCAAAGTGAAGGATATTTAAAGTGAAAATATCGGCCTCATCCTTGTTCTAGAATTCTGATTGTCAGATTTTGTTCTAAAAATGTGGGAGCACATATGATAGAGTTTATTCTTGGGAAGAAAACATGTTTATTGAAACTAGAAAGTGACATTGAAAGTAGAAGGTTCCATGAAAAAGACTTGATTTGAAGAAAATGAAATGGCAATATTTCTGAGATCCAAAGAGGAGCATCCATCATCATAATCCCATCAAATTTTTATCCTCAACCAACAATACCAGTACCTACAATAACTATTGATTTTGTTCCAGAGCAACTCAGAACATGTAGGTAGGAGCATATGCTCAAGTGTCCCTGTACATTTTTTTCCACTGCATCTGATTTGGGCAGAGAAAATACTTAAATCTACATATGATTGTTCAAAGGATGTTACAGACCAGGTGTTCTAAAGGAAGAGCAAGTCACGATCAGCTGTATGAAACTAAATTGTTAAAATTTACAGCATTATGCCCAAAAAGAATATTTCATTTAGTCAGAAACTTTCTGCCAGCTCACCACCAAGACAGCTGCAGTGTTTTGTAGTATGTAAGGTATTGAAAAGGTAAAATATCATCAGGTATTACTCTATCTGATAAACATGGTCAGAAGCATACTTTTACTCCTCTTCAAGCAGACCCCCATCAGCTGGAAACTAGTGCCCTATAATTACACACCTTACGAGGGAGACATGGTAATGGCCTCTGTGTACTCTGCTTGTCTATCACAATGCATTTTTGACTGCTACATAAGAATAAGCCAGAATTCATGAAAATGAAGACACATTCAGAAAAAATGCGTGAATTTCTGTCATGCTTGTTTTAGATTAAGGAAGTTTTTCTCTTTTATTATTTATATTTTCCTTTATGTTTCTACTTCTTTTATCCACATGTGAGTTGTATGCATGTAGTACTAAAAGAAGGGTGGAAGAAGGGGCAGAAAGTGATTAAAAAGTCGAAGAAAAAACCCAATTATCTAAATACAGACACAAAATAACTTTAATCATAACAAATATTTACAGTTTGGATGCAAGTGACTAATGTATCTATTTTCTTACTCATGCATATTAAAAGTTTAAACCAATTCTTAGTAGATAAAAAGCTTTTAAAACCATCCCTCTAATATCATTTAAATATTACAGCAGATGCTGAAATCTCTGGATTTTGGGCACTAGTCATAAATATGTACACACACAGAGTTTTCTAGCACTGAAATGGAATGTTCCCAGACTTGCAGCAAAGCCTCTGCCTAGTCTGCCTATGGGCAGCAGCAAGCACATAATAACATCTCTCCCTTACTTTAATGGTTACTATGAGATGAATAAGAGCAGTCATTTCCACTTTCAGAGAATTTTGTTGCTTTAACACAGCTGTGTTAGCTACATCGGTGCTCATGAAAATATATGCTCCTTTTCTGGTAACTCCCCCAAACCACCTTGAAAATGACACATAGACATGAAATGTCTAAACCTTTCTAATATAAGTCAGATCATGCAACAAAGGATTCTTCATTTTCTGATATTTTTCTTACTGACAGTAATATAAATAATGGTAGATAATCCAGAAAATATTGATTATTAAGAGAAACAATAACACTTTGTGGCATTACATATTAGCCTCTTAGAAAAATTATTTCAACCATTGGCAAAAAATTCCTTACAAAATACCAGGAGTCAGCATTCTCTACAACATCTGCATTTCACCACTTAAGAATTCATTCATTAGAGCTCAGTTCTAATTATTTTATTTCTTATTCAACACCTGAGTAGGTAAACATCTTTTAACAAGTCAGATGAAAAGCTTTGTACATAGCAGTATATTTTCTAAAAAAATACTTCTTAGTTGTAAAGTTAAGCCCTCAATTAAAAAAATATTTGATATGTATGGTTGTTATTATTATTTCCATAGCCTGATGTGCGAACATGCCCAATATTACACTTCTAAGCAAAGTGTAAACTTCTGCTTTCTTTCACTTTAATATTCTGCCATTCTTATAGCTCTATTTCCAATAAAATCTCCATGAGTACTTAAGCAGCAATACTAATAAATAGTAGAAGTAAATAAGGGTTACTTCTATACTATTGTTTTCTCTAGTCCCAGCACTTTGGACTATGTTACTAAATCTGGTGATATTTTTTTTATAGTTCTGATTATATCTTCAGCAACACAAAATGTATGTACTTTTTATTTGATCTATAAAAATGAATAGAACGAATGGATAAAATTACTTCATCTGGTTTAGTGGTAAGGCCAGGAATTTAAGGAATCATATCTCCTACAACCCACCCTAACTAACTAACTACATATACTGAGAACAGGCAAAGAAAAATCTGTTTCTCTGATGAACATGAATGGACAGCCTGTCAGTAATTGTGTAAGATAGGTGAGAAAAAGAAGATGGCAGTTTCCAAACATCTTTTAAAATAATGTCCTATTTAATTGGTAAAAGAATGGAGAAGAAATTTCTGCTGAATAGAAGCATCTTTGAATTAGTTGATTTTTCCTGAATATATGTAGGTTTCATATAATATGTGAACCACACACACTTTAACTCATTTTCACCATAAGTAAAATAGAACTGCGTTGTGCCTATATTCACTTGATCACAGAAATGTCAAAGATGTGAGGTACCCCATGCCTGTATAGCCAACAGGCTTTCAGGTAAATAATGTTTATGTGTAAATTCAGTCCAGGTGAGACAATGTTGTTAGAATGTTAGAGTTAGAGTTAGTCTGTTGTTAGAGTTGTTAGAATGTTGTTAAGTTAGTTTATGTTAGTAGTTGATAGCTTGAAATATATCTTTTCCCCTATTTTAGTTGTGATTTCCCCCTCAGCTTCTCTTTCCCCTAATTGTTTACCTGGTGTCAAGTTACCATGGTTACTGAAGTTTTTCTCCTCAGTTCCACTGCGAGAGGCCCGATAGAGTGGAGGGGAGACCCTGCTGGCATTTCCAGCTGCTTCAAGTTTCTTTAGCCCAGGAGACTCTTGTTTCCAACATGGAAGTTTGTAACTCTGTTGTTCCTGTCCCAGAATGTCTCTGAGCTATGGAAGCTGAAGAGAGCATGCTTCCCTTCCCTTCCCTTTCTTTCCCCCCTGTGTTGCCAGGAAACCAAGCCCCCCCTCTCTCCTCCTCTGCCCCTCTGTGGAGAATACTCCTACACCTTTGTGGGCATTTGAAGAACTTGGTGTCTGTTATTTCTTATCTTGGTGTGTGCAACCTTGATTTGTAGAAAGTTTGTAAGATTCTCTACTAACTGAGAAAAATAATTGGTTCTTTCTCTGATGTTCCCTCCCTCCGAGAAACCCTGTTAAAAGAGACCCCCCAGACCCCAAATCCTTTGTCTCTCGTCCCTTGGATTCCCTTTCATGGAAATAAACTGTGGAATGCAACCCCGGGGAGAGAGTCCCCCCCTGATTTCTTTACTCGCTCTATAGACTTGAATTCTTGAAGAAAATCAGTGCTGGCTCGAAACTCGTGTGAAGAGAAACCTCATCAGTGAGCTAGCCGGGCCACTCTTGAGAAGTTTGAGTCAAGACAATGGTGTTTTATGACATTTATTCATTTTTATTCCAATTTTATTAAAGGGACAAAAATCAAAGATATTTATTCTCTTTAATTATTGCTGAGAGAAACATTTATTTTGCAGAACATTTCTAAAAGTCCATGTGAAATGAGTGGATACTCAGTCTTGCCATAAGACATGCTGTCAGAGTTATTTTGTTAACCATCACATATTTCAGGTTTTACAGGGAATTCACTAAAACTGGTAATGACACTCTTTCCATCCAAGTCACCTACTCTGCCAGAAATTCCAGAAGTTCATCGCAACTTTAATTTGAGTGGCTATCCTTGATCCAGCACTTTGTGTTCGCAGTGAAACTCACTAAACCTCCCCAATGAATGTAAACCAACTTTATAATTTTGTCAAACTTAAAGAAAGGCACCACAGATGACTTTAAGGACAAGGGCTGTTTGTCTTACCAGAAACCCTGGAGTCTCCTCTGTAGCACAACATTTTATGATTCACAATCTGTACATGTTAACATGATAGAAAAAATGAGGAGAGGAAGAGGGGTAAAAAGAAGCTGCAGGTGAAGCTCAGAATATTGGTGAGTTGATCAGTGAATTAAGAGCTTCTGAAGATGTAAGTAATCTGAGAGATAACAGAGATCACTTGTGCTCCCTTTGTCAGTACCTTCCTTTCCTAGAAGTGAGTCTCACCAATCTGCAGCCCCTACATAGATCCAGTATGCAGTAGAAAAGCTTATGCACCATTTTAAGTGACAGACCAAAAGCATGAGATGGGCAGAAGATATTATATGCCTGGATTTTGCTTAAATTTGGGAAGAAATTCTGTCTCTGATGGAAAAAGCAGCTGTTTCTCATCCATGAGCTTATGTGTGGTGGTCTGGAGAGGGGAAGGTCTTTGTTACTGATGGCTTATTTATGTTCATTTATTTTTAAATGACAGCTGTCTTAAGCTGTTCAGTGTTTGGACTGTGAAATTAAGTCTCAGGAGAGATGGATTAGATGATAGAACACCAGGGAGTCAATCAAAAATTCACACTATAAGTGGTTTACCCTATAAGCTCTGCGAACTTACCACAAAACTTCCCAGCAGGTCATTTGCTAGCTGCAATTGTTTTTAAAATCCTACATCATAATATATATGTAGATACATATATAGAGACATAGACATATACATAGAGAGATCAATATATATAGATATATAGATTATATACAGATATGTTTCCTTTCATATTACTGGCATGCATGCAGCATGAATACTCAGGAATATGGTATATTTCATGTAACAACAATATTGTTTTCTTCTTTCCTAATGAAAATATTTAATAAAGACAAAAATACCATATAAACCACTGAAATGTCAAATATCATCTTACACCATGTGCATTTGTCAAGAATTCTTGCCTGATATGCAGTCCTTTTCCCAGACAGCAAGTCTAAAAAGTGCCCTCCACTTTTTCTATTATATTATCTTGAAATAAAATCTTAAATGATACTAGTCTTTGAGATATTTTTGGAAGGAACAGGGACAGAGGGACATTCTAATTAAATGTACTCATTGTCGATGGCAATTCAACATTTTCACTTCCATAACTCCACTAAAAAAGTTCAGATGAAACATGATCCTTAATAATCAGAGACACAAGAACACTACAGAGCTGAAGTTTAATATTATTCTTTGACTTGACTCTGTTGGGGAATAGTTTTTTTCCCCTGAAATATATTCAATAAAGGAATAGCAATCAAACTGCTATAGTAAACTAATAGATATAATGAAACTCTATTAGCATCCAGAGACTCCTAAGAGTGCAAGGAGACAATATATTAATTTAGAATCAATTCTTTCATAAATTCATTGCATTCCTCTTTCATAATTCTCACATGCAGTCATGGTACAGCACATGTAAAAGAAATGTGTGAGAAAAAAGGAGGTTCATTTAAGATATTATTTTATCAGCAGAGGGGGGAGTTTTTGATCTTTAGGAAGGCATCACCAAATGTAATTTCCGATATCTGCAGTTCAATCCCTTTTTGCATTTGAAGCCTTATACGCCCACAGACATTTCTGTAAGGTATGTGATTTTTTCTTTGAGGATGGAGATTGGATTTCACTGGGAAACCAGAGAGGTGATCTATCAGCAGTTTAGAAGACCAGTTCTGGGTTTTAATGGGAAATGCAGTGTTGGGGTCCTCCTGTCAGCAGCAGGGGCAATAGCCTGAAAGTCTACAAGGAGATATCATCAGTTATTGCAGACTCACCCCAGCTACTCCATCCTCACATAAAGAAGGGGAACAAGTTTCATGGAAGGAAAAATACCGGCGTATGAGGAAATGATGAGGTTAACATTTGTGCATTTTTTGTATATTATTAATTTTCTGTCATTAAAGAATATGTTTGAACAAGATTACTTTCTGACTCTTACAGAGACTCTACTTTATTGGATCCAGCAGAGCCACCAACTCATATATATGGTGCTTAAAATGGGCTTTTTATCTCATTTGATCTGACTAGAGCTACAAACCATAAAGGAACCAGAACCCTTCACCAAATGTGTACTCAGGAGGGAGCCCTGAAGCGACCTCTTTTGGCCAAATGCTGCTCTAAATGCTCTGCCTGACTCCTGGAAAACATCTCATTTTGATCATGGTTTTCAGGGCATGCTGAAGGCCAGTTGCTCCTGCTGGGGCTGGCTGAGGAGGGAGTTAGCTCCCATTAATAATTAAACATATCTTTTCCAGCAGTGCAGTTCATTCTTATTTGGGGGGAGAAGGGAGGAAGAGATCTCCAATCCCCCAGCTTAGTCCAAGGCAAAGTTTGATCCCTGACTTTGTGTTTTTCATTAGCAGGCTGGGAGATCATGATTCACATAGCTCTAGTCCCAAAAAGTTCTGCATTTACTATTTGATGCATTGATCCTTTCACTTAACAGCTAGCCCTTAAGCCATAATAACTTACAGATATATGCATTTATTCCACAATACTCTGAAAGGCCTTTTTAAATATTCATTCTATTCTGCTAAATAAGCAGCCCTCCTTTCCAGGAGGCCTGTGATTAACGCTCCTTTCATCCATCACCACTATACACTGCCTTTGGGAAAGCCTGATCCGCTTGCTGCTCCAAAAAATCTAACTTGAACCAGAACTTATTTTCCCTGCTTCTGCTACTGCCAAGTTTCAGGACTTTAGGCAAACCACTTGACCTTGCTGCATCTCACTTTCCTCTCCATTAAAATGAAGATAGTGCCTAGCTTCATAAAGCATGTCAGTTCTACAGATTAAAATGAAATGCTATGGATGAGTTTAGTACAATGATTCTATACACCACGGAAATTTCATCCTTTAAGACGATGCCAATGACAAAGCTGTCAAGCCAAAACTGCTCCTGGCAGCCAAAATCTTATATCAGCACTGTGGCCCAGTGCCATCAGCAGGGCCGTAAGTAAGGGAAGGGATGCATTTATTCAGTTCACTTGACAGGATCATCATCAGTAGCTGGACTACCAGGCTTCTTTTTTTTCTTTTTTCATATGAACACAGAATATAACCCAGACTTAATTTATACAGGTAATACACAGAAATACAGGAGGTGTGCAGAGAATTCTCTGTTAAAAAGCAAGTTGGCAGCACAACACGCTGTTCAGAAATAGTTCTAATACCAGCTTTAATCTAATGCTGCTTTAAAGTGGTGACCTGCCTATTTGGCTAACTATTCTGAATACTGTCAGATAATTATTTCTAAGTGGCGTAAGTTTAATTGTATGGTAAATTAATGGGTAAAAGACTTCTTGCTGTTGTTTAATAAGTATGAAGAAAATACACTTTTCATATACTGTAGTCAAATTGCATAAGCAATAAGTGCGCATTAGATGTTGTATTTATTACATCAAATCTGTGAACACTGCTAATACATTAACATTTAAAAAGGTAGCCCATGGCAAGTCAATTTCACAGCAATTAAAACTGAAAAACTGGTAATTGACATTTGATAAGTGTGTTAATTGACATCAAGCTTGCAATAGCTAACATGTTAAATGTCAATTAAATCCATGTGTTTTTACAATTAGAATTTATTATTAAAGAATCTAATTACAAAATGTTGGTTATGTCAGTTTATGTTAATTATACAAAAATTACATTTATAGTGGAAAAGTTTCTTCAGTCATCAACAGCATTTTAAAAATTTCCCTATTTTTTAACATTTTGTATTGCATATGTTGTCTTATTTTTTTTTCTGTTTTAGGTGTAATGGGGGGAGAGAAGTAGATTAAAAATGTAGAACCACTGGTCCAATCTTTTCTATAATTTTGAAAGAATACATTGTGACTATAGTCTATATTAAATTGAGTAAGGATTCATTAAAGTCAGGAAATTAATATTTTTTTTTTCCAAAAAAAAACTTTTTTTTTTTTTTTTTTACTGATACCATCAAACACAAATGCTAGTAACATTTATATAGGTCTGTATTAACAGTTCAAATTTTGTAAAAAT